TAAACAACACATTTAAATTATGTTTAAATTCACATATAACATCTGCAGAGCTTTAAGCATCTACACAAAAGCATATTTACCATGTAGGCCAAGTCATTTTGTTGGGTGAATCGAAAAATTAGACAAAATGAGAGCTCTGTGCATTAAATCGAGATGTCTTATTAAATTCCACTGATAATTGCATGGGAAATGCACAATGCACAAACCACAAATAAAAGCTGATGAGATATCAAACATAAAATAATATGAAACAGGTGGCAATAAAGATACAAAGTGTGGAGAAAAAAAAGAAAATTTATTAGTGCCTGAGCAGGTTAAAAGTGAAAAGATAAGAGCTCATTTGTGTGTGTTTTCCATGAGCCGTTAGATGTTCCTAATGAGAAAAATCTAATATTAAAATATAAGAGCCTCCTTCACTGAAATATCCAATTTAATTTACTGAGATAAGGACACGGAAGACTATTTGCTAAATAAGCTTTACTCAAGAGACCAAAATTCATCTGTAGATTATCAAAATGTACAATAATCCTGGGGTTCTTTTAGTTGATAAACTGTTAGACAGAGAGGCTTTTGTATCCTTTACCATCCTCTCTGTATCCCTTTCTTTCTGGCACTCTTCTGAATCTTTCTTGTTTTCTCAGTGCAGTGGGCTAAAGGGTCCCACAAAAGCAGAATTGTGCAGCACCCACCTGCTCTAACCATGACCCACTTTGACAGTTTGTAAGGAGTCAAATCCAGATCTCATATCGGCTCTAAATCATGTGTTCAACACGGCTGCCTAGTTCTCATGGGTTTCTAAAGGTCTTCCGAAATACAAATTTCTTCTTCTCTTTTGTGAGATACAACAGACCTTTCTTTAAATAGATATTACTACTTTATCTGATGTTTTTTCTGTCTTAAGGCAGAGTAATAGATGCAGTAAATAAAAAATAATACACTGAATTAAATGATGAAACGTATATCTTGAGTGATTTGTTAAAACTAAAAATGTACTGTGAAAATAAATATTATGCAATACCCTTTCAAAATACAATTGAATAAGTAATACTCATAATTAATGCAAATATTAAGTACATAATTAAAACAATTAAAACAATGCAATGCAATATAAAATATAAAAAAACATATTACAATGAATATAATAATAACAATAATAATTTTTATTTAAAAAAATGCAAAAGAGGTGGTGTATGCAATAAAATATTTAATACTAATAATTAATAATTAAAATAATTAAATACATAATTAAAACAATTAGAACAATGTATTGTAAAAATACAAAAATATATTAAAATGAATATAATAATAATAAATTATTAATATAACACAAAAGGGGCGGTGTATGCTGTGAATACAGCAAATGATGGGTATTAAAAGATAAACAAGTTTTGTGGGTTGTGATTTTGTGTGGGCCTCATCATACGTAATGTGAAATGCTTTGAGATTTCTGAGATTAGAGTGATAACTGGCAAGTGAAGGTAATGAGGTCAAACATCTAATGTACAGGTGAGCATGACTGAAAGCAGCACTGTGACGTGCTGTTTAATGAGTTTTACAATGAGACGTGACAGCTGAATCCGTAGCCCTGATGTGAAACTTACTGCGAAACTGTCATTTTTCTGGACAGTGTGAGAGGAGAAGCAGAACAGACTAATATTAGACAACAGCAGCAGCAGCATTAGTAATTAACACACTCCACTCTCACTTAACACAGCCGAGAGCTTAGAAACACCCTCCGTTCACAGGGGCTTTGATATCAGAAAAGGAAAAAATAGCTTAACATGGATAAAGCACTAAACACACAGACAAGGAAGCCTAAACAACATTCAACTACAAATCAGGGGGTTCAAAATGTGACAACTGAACTTTTAAAGTTCAATTCCAAGTATAAAAATAGCTTTAATTTCATGCACATTCTTTTCACAAACATGTTATTTAAAAGAATAGAGCTCAACAACAGTGACCTCTCATTATTTTCCCATTTCGTTTTCCATAGAGAATTAAAAAAGTTGTTCAATAGAGTTCTTCTGAACTAAACCAGCCTGCAAAAATTGTATTTTCATATCAATTCAGTTTTTTATGCCATAATGGATACAACATCCTATTTTATCCAAATATAGGTAAATAGTTAGAAATTCTGTTTCAAAGCTGTAAACAAAGCAAAAAAAATACTGCAGTACGTTTTACAAGAAAATAAAAATGTCATGTTTAATTCAATGTTACTTGCCATTTCTTTGTAATTATTTGTGAAATTTACTATCAATTTCTGAGTGAAACTTTTCAAAATATAATTTTTTTCAGTGTAGCTAATGTTATCTAGTGTTCAATACAAAAACCTGTATTCATGAAAACATGTGGATCTTTAATGAGTTTTTATGTATTTTGAATAAAATCATCTAAAAACTAGTGCTGTCAAACGATTAATCGCAATTAATCGCACACATTTACAAAATATATGTGTGTATACTATGTATATTTATTATGTATATATAAATACAAACACATGCATGTATATATTTAAGAAAAAAATGTTGTTTTTATATTAAATATATTTATATATAAGATATAAGAATACGAATATATAAATGTATAAACATGTAAATATTTTCAAAATATATACTGTATGTGTGTGTATTTATATATACATAATAAATATAGACAGTACATATACATATATAATGTAAACAAAAAGTTATTTTGGATGTGATTAATCGCAGTTAATCGTTTGACAGCACTACTAAAAATCAACCAATCATTTTTACTTTTTGAACCAAACTATTGAGCTCTATGGCACCCACTCATTCATGCATATTTGTGATTAGACTACACAATCAACCAATCAGCATCCTCGTCACTCACCCTGAGCTCCACCCACTTGTCCAGCATTCTTTTGTCATTGAATTCACAGAGCAGCCCAGAGGAAGTGATGCAGAAGGTGCTGTTCGCCTTCCGGCCCTTTCCACAGGCCACATCGCTAAAGAAGTTATTCCGCAGCTCTCCAAGAAGACCAGAGCGGCCCAATAATGGTACTGTAGCGTTCACCTGTGAGAGATGACATTTATGAGGCTTTCACCTAAGACCCGGATCATATTTAGCACTGTGTGAATGGACTGGGAGTTCATGTGACATGACATTTTCAGCTGTGGTCAGGCTTGACATCTGTGGTGATGGTAAGTGAGAGTTAGAGACGGAAAGCCAGCCAGAAAGATCAAAAAGAGCTGTATTTGGTAGAGATAAGGCTAGCTGTCATCCGCCACGTTAGCATCGTGTACCTTGGACGACTTGGTGTGGTCAAGATACCAGAACTTCACGTGTCTATTCCCAGCTGTAACAAAGTACGAGCTGTCAGCTGAGAAAGACACAGCCGTCACTTTACTGGACACCTTGTTGGCGGCAATCACAACATTTTTCTGAAATGACAAAAAGACAAATATTCAATCTATGACAATTTTTATACTATGATTTATGGATCTGTTTTTTATGTTACTAGGGGAAAATCATGGTAAACAGATTATGAGAGATGGAACAACATTACAGGAATAATGAAAATTTGCTGAATATTTACTCTCCCTCAAGCTATCCAAGATTTAAATGTGTTTCTTCATCACAACAGATTTGGAAAAATTTTGGATTATATCACTTGCTCACCAGTGGATCCTCTGCAGTGAATGGGTGCCGTCAGAATGAGAGTCCAAACAGCCGATATAAACATCACAATAATCCACACCACTCCAGTCCATCAATTAACATCTTGAAGCAAAAAGCTACGTGTTTGTAAAAAACAAATCTAGGGCATTTTAATTTCTTTGCTTCTGGCCAAAGAGTCTATAATCTACAGTATAACAACGCTTCCTCCAGTAAAAAAAAGTTTATCTCCTGTTGTCATTTCACATCAAAATCCACTGATATATTTGTTTAGAACAGTTTTGGACTGTTTTTACTTGTAAACAGTGCTTGATCTATTCATATTTATCTCCTGATTCAGACGAGATGACTTTTTCACTTAAAAAAATATTCTGAATAGAGGACAATTCAATGGATTTTTTTACAAATACAATTACAAATACACAGTTGTTCGCTTTGCTTGAAGCTAATTGATGGAGCTGTATGGATCATTGTGATGTTTTTATCAGCTGTTTGGACTCTCATTCTGACGGCACCCATTCACTGCAGAGGATCCATTAGTGAGCAAGTGATGTGCTGTAATGCTAATTTCTCCAAAACTGTTCAGATGAAGAAACAAACTCATCTACATCTTGGATGGCCTGAGGGTGAGGACAGTTTTCATTTTCTGGCTGAACTATTTCTTTAAATTCCTTTTTTTTCAGCTTTAAGCATATACTGTATGTAATGTATATTCTTTAGTGTTGCCTTGTGTTAACACCATTCCTTTTATGCATTGCAAACACTGCTATTACCTGCAGGAAAAGCAAATCTAGTTATCCAAACAGCATATATGAAACAATAAACTAAATGAAAGCCATCTTTCATGACTGTGTGAATATTGCTAGTCACCTTCCAGGCCCAGACGTTGACGATCATGTCATGCTGGTATCCCACACTGATGATGTATTTACTATTGGGGGAGAAAGCCACACACGCCACGCCATATTTATGTTCGTGTAACTCCGCCACCTGTGTCCTCTCTGCCACATCCCAGACACGCACCGCCGGCATATGACCACTCTAGAGAGAGAGAGAAAAAGAGATTATGAGGGCCGTCAACATGCTTTACTCCAGACAATCTCAACACAAGAGCTATATCTACCACATTAAGAACCAAAAAACTGTATATTTAGAAACATACAACCAACATATATAAATATATACATACTACCTTCCAAAAGTTTGGGGTCAGTAAGATTCTTTTTAAGAAATTAATACATTTATTCATCAAGGATGCATTAATCTGGTCACAGGTGACAATAAGGATGTTTATAATTGTATTAAAGTTTATACATACACTAAAAGTAAAAAGTTTGGGATCAGAAAGCCTTGTAATGTTTTTTAAAGAAGTCTCTTATGCTCATCAAGGCTGCATTTATTTGATCAAAAATACAGAATAAAACAGTAATCTTGCTAAATGTTATTACAATATAAAATAATGGTTTTCTAACAATATAAATCTTTGTTATCACTTCTTAACAATTTGACACATCCTTGCTGAATAAAAGTTTTAATTTCTTTCAAAAATAAAGAATACAAATTTACTGACCCCAAACTTTTGAACTGTAGTGTATATTGTTAGAAAACATTTCTATTTTAAATAAATGCTCTTCTTTTGAACTTTTTATTCATCAAAGAATCCTGAAAAAAAGTATCACAGGTTCCAAAAAAGTATTAAGCAGCACAACAGCTTCCAGCACTGATAATAAATCATAATATCTGAATAATATCTGAAGGATCATGTGACACAGCTAAGTAACGGCTACTGACAATTCACAGGAAAAATTAAATGAATTTTATATATATTTTTTAAATTTAAAGTTATTCAAAAATAAAACAGTAATTTCAAACTGTAATAATATTTAACAATTATATAAACTTTTTACTGTATTTTTTGATTAAATGCAGCCTTGGTGAGCATAAAAGACTTCTTTCAAAGATGAAAAAAAAAAACTAATTCATTCATTCATTCATAAAAAATGTGTATATGTTATATATTATAGAAATGTCCTTTCCCTGGCCAGAAAAACACCATTTTGAAAATCCCCTGATATTTTCATATTTTCTCTTGACTGTGGGAACCTTGGATTTATATTTTGATGTATTGCAAGCATGTATTCAAGAGCACCTTTCTATTTTGTGCAATGCTTAGCTTGTTTGTGCAACACATTAACAGATGTCGAGACAGGTCAGTTCAATCCCACGTTACACAACTCCAATCAAGACAGATCATGCACGATCATGCAAGATTCATTCTGATTAATCTTACACAACATCCTGCTTTAATACAGAACTGTGCTGCCAACATCTGATCAGCATTCAGCGCTGCAGGGGCTTCACAGTGAGAATGTGGGGGTCAGAGGTCAAACCACAGTGAGCAGACATATGCCGATTCCAGACTGTTTCTGTCTCTTCCTTCGGGCACATTTTCTTTCTCTTCCTCCCTACATGCTATTTTCCTTGCCCTTTCTTGGCACTCTCGCTTTTACCTTTTTATGACAGCAGAGACAGTTGGCACGGTGCCGCCTGTTGCCATGGCAGCCAGTAAGCACAAACTCACATCACTTTCACATGCTGGAGTAAGAAACTCCTCTCAAACGGAAAGGATTACTTTTTTGTCCAAACGCACACACACACAAAATATACAACCGCATACACACATACAAAAATGTACAACCACACACACACAAATCACCCGTCCACAGGATTTAGTGGATTAGAGAAGTAGACAGGATCTGTGCTCATGTTCAGTCTTGCAAACAAAGTCCAAACAGCTCTGGTCACTGTCCACACTACTGTTTCCATTCATTACTGTCATGCCAGCAGACCAGAAGTATGGACACTTCATCAATGCATATTATCCTTAAAGGGATAGTCCACCAAAAAAGAAAAAAATAAATAAATAAAAATACAATAAAAATACAATAAATAATAATTTTAATTTAACCACCTTCATGTCATTGCATGACTTGTTTTCTTCTGTGGAGCATAAAAAGATATTTTGAACAATGTGTTTTTTGTCCATACAATAGAAGTCAATGGTCACCAAAACTGTTTGGTTATCAACATTCCTCAAAATATCTTCTTTTATGTTGCACAGAAGAAAGAAAGTCATTCAGGTTTGGAACAACATGAAAGTGAGTAAATTATGACAGAATGTTCATTTTTGGGTGAACTGTCCCTTTAAGAAAAAAATCATAGTGGATAACAGGCAAGCATCCACATTCCTCATTCAAATAACACTATAATTTTATTATATTTAACAACAAAATAAATGTCTAGAGATTGCACTCAAAAAGAGAATTTTAGCCAAAGAAATGCATCAAAACTGAGCAGAACCACAAAGGTTTATAATGACTACAGAAGTTTTCATGATTTGATTAAATAAATGTTTAAAGGCCTGGAAAATTACACTTGAAATTCCATGATATTTAGATAATAGGGTAATAGGGAAACTTTTAACACTCTAGCTAGAAATTTGCTAAATTTCTACCACCTTTTTTCTACTCAGATGACATTAAGTCTGTACATGAAGGGGGGAAAAAAAACATAATAAAATAACTGGTATTATTAATCAAGTTGACCAAATGATCCAATCAAATGCTGATAGACAAAATCAGCTTCCATTCTACATTACTCCCTGCTAATATTTCAGATAATATAATAACAGATTACAGAATTAAAATGTGTTGCCAATTACATTTTGTCTTTACACCAAATAAGAAATTATTAATACTTTTAAATATTTTAACTGTTATTTTTTTGTTGTTGTTGTTTCAATCATGTAGTTTTATTTTGAAGGTTGCAATACTGTGTTTTATTTCAAGCCGGACATAACTTGCATGCTTCTGCATGATTTCTATACTGCAGTCAAAGCAATAAATCCCTTCTAATCCAAACGTTAATGCTGCAGAATTGCAGAAGGAAAGCAATAGTCACATTTGTCTGTACTTGACTCCACTGTGACAAGAGACAAATTACACTGATAGTTAGTCACTGCCCACAGGGATTTCAGAATTCAGGCCTGAAGGTGCAAGATAGAGAAATGTATTTTCATACAGCTCGCCTACATCAGCTTTATCGAAGTATGAGATACTTCTCCAGAGCTCCTGACTTCCTATTAAATCATGTGATGTAACCACAAAGCACAGATATACTGAGGAATTGAGTACTCACCTCGCCCGTGACCACGTATTTGCCATCAGGAGAGAAGGAGACGGTAGTGATGGTTTTCCTGTGACAGAGTGGACGGAAGTATTTAGACAATGTTGAAGTGTATGCATCCTGCTAGTTGAGAGATGTCCTCTCCGTCTGGTCACCCATTGCTTACGATGATTATATGTTGAGCATCCCAACACTACAATATTTGTTCAACCAGTGGCATGAGTTTGGGACAGAATCATTTTGGTCTCCATAAAGAACCTTCCAATAAACAGTTCTTAAAGGAACCATTTTTAGTGTGGAGAACGTTTTAAATTTTAATTTAAAGAACCTTTTCTCCACTATAAAGAACCTTTTGTGAAATGGAAAGGTTTCACAGATGTTTAAGGTTCTTCATGGAACCATTGATGCCAATAAAGCACCTTTATTTTAAAGAGTGTAGTACACTTGTGCAGCTAATGAGCCATAGGAGGTGACATTTATCCATGTTGCGCTTGGTTACAAAAGTATTAAAGTCTTACCTGGAGCTATTGAGGATATGATGCTGTTTGTTTTTCTTAGGGTTCAGTAGCACCACCACACATCTATAAAACGATAAAAGAAAGGGGTCGTTAAAATGCTATTTAGCAGACACTTTCCAATCCAAAACAACATAATTATCATTTAACTATGGTGACAGTCCCTCCAAAGTCTTACTCAATGACAACCTTTAAGTTAGCAGTCCAGATCTTTGACCACACTAAGCCACAAGCCCACAATTTTGCTATCTAAATCATGGAGTGGCGTTTTCTACTTCCAAAATTAGACAAAAAAAAAAGAGAAAATGCACAAATCAGACTCATTTAAACATGATTATACCTGACTTTCCTGATTAACAATGTATCATATCCTGTGTCTGTTAATGTGTATTAGTCAGAGCAGTTACCATGATAGTACAATGGTATTCTTTAAAAGTAGGGATGCACCGAATATTCGGCAACCGAAATTATTCGGCCGAAAATAGCAAAAAAATCTCTTTCCGTGTTCAGCCGAATAAGCGAAAAGGCCAAATAATATGTACCGAACAATGACTAACACGATTTCTTCTTGTGGGTTTCTGCCAAAATATAAAAAAAAGCCGAGAAAAAGCAACAACTCCATCGACATTCATAAATGACAGTATTGTAATTTTACCGTCGTTCTGTAAAATAAAACAAAAAAGTAAGACAATAATAATGATAATAATAATTGCCCTACAACAGCTCTATTAATACATTTATTATAACATTCACACAGTGTTCAAA